ACTGTTTGACTTCATGTTTTTTAATGAGATCTGTCACTTTTTTTATTTGGCTTGTTCCTAATAAACCTGCATAAATCATGAAATGGTACTGGACTACAGAAAAGCATCTTCTACTTAGTAAAAAAAATTACTTTGATTAAGGAATCTTAGTGATAGAAATATGTACCCTTCTGGTAAGCAGTTCTGTTTTTTTTTTTTTTTTCTATTGCTACAGTAGCATTCATTTAGGAAATTGCACAAGGCCTTTAGAGAAATTTAATAAAACTATTGATTGCATTATGCAGTACCAGGAAAGGGCAAAAACATACTTGTGGCATAACTTAAATAAACTGATACTAGTCCATGCTTCCTCTTAGTTTGTTGAATTTGTTGTCAGAAAAGTGGACATCCTGTGGGAGCAAGATACCTGCACCAATATCCTGAAGAAAGCTTCTGAAGAAATGAATGAAAATAACATTGTGAGAGGCACATAGATAAATTCAAATTATTTTTGTAGTGTCATTTTTGTAATAAAAGTAGGGATTATAAGGGAAAACCATGGAGTTCATGGAGTGAACAGTTTATCCCTGAATGCCTCCTGGATTTATTAAGGAAAATATATGCTTGACAGAAAATTCTTGTCTCTCAGTTTTATGTTCTTGTTTGCAATTTTCAGTGTTTCAGGGGTCTCAGATATTTATTTGGGAGACTTCTCATGTATGCTAGCAGATTTGCAGAAATAATTCATGAATCTAGTTTTTTGGTTTTTTTTTTTTCCCCTTAGTGCTTTTAACTTTCACCATGAGTATTAGAAATTTAATACTGTCATGTTCTGGAGTATCTAGCTCTTGGTGACATTTCAACCAGCAGCTAAAACAAATAAGATTGCAGTTAATAATGTTAGTAAATGTGAATGTGGATGTCTGTTGGTGTTTATTCATACACTCATATTAATATGTATATTGAGGATGTGTGCATGTTATACCAATATCCTTGTCCAGCTTCTAATGGGGGTGGTTAGGTATAGTGGAATCACAGTGATGGAGAAGATGCTTTGGTGTTTGCCAAAGAGTAGGATGGTAAAGCAGGGGGAAAGGCCCCACAAATTCATGGTACTATGCATGAGAGAGCTGGATCATTTTGCATTTAATCCTTTTCTGTTCTAACCTTGCTCTCAATTTAAAATAAGAGTGATGCTCCTAGTTTGTGCTTTGGGGAATATAATGGTTTTTAACAGAACCTAGAAGATACATGACTGAGTGGCAAAGATTGAAAAACAGTATCATTTGAGCACATTGCACAGATAGTAAGTTCATAGATAAAATACTCCCATCAAATGTGTGTTTGGTTTATGGCCAATTTAGGTGTGAAATTGCTAATTCCTATTTTGCGCTATGATGATAACTTGCTGATAATGTCAAAGGATTATATTTTGATGTAAGCTCACATAGTTATGATGCCTTAATTAAATGTTTGGAAATAAAGAAAGCTGTTGAGCTATGTACAATTTTTGTAACATAATTTCTTTTTTTGTAACATTATTTCTTTTTCATGAAAGTCACACAGAAATAGTTTTTTTAAAATTCCAAATGCTGTCCTTGTTTTCAAATAATTGTACCAGTGTAGCATGTTAGTGTGAAGATCCAACATATTTTTGTCTTGTGATTTTATTTTAGCTGTATAATTTTTACTTGTTGGTCATGAATGTCTCTGTGAAGGCCAGGAGGTGGAAACCCTTTATTATTCCAGCACTACACAGGACTCTGCACTGCTGTATCAGGAAATCTCAAGTAACAGTTTTATGATGCATGAGGATATTATTCTCTGCAAGCAGTAACACACATTTCTATTTCCCCAGCAATATCCACATAATCAAACATTCACAAGTGCTTTACAAAGAATTTAATTAAATAGTGTGCAGAGTGACTGGATGCAGCATGTACACAAGCCGTTATATATTCAGTAGTTCCCATTTTGCAGTTAGTGCAAAACACTTTCGTGCAGTAATATACGTGAATGGTATTTCCATCAAAATGTGCATTATCACTCCTCCTTTTGTACCTTAAAAATGACACTAAAACCTCAACAGATGTCACCTCCAGGATCACAGGATACCTTGCTCAGGGCTCTAATGGTGTGATAAACAGGGAAATACAAATTCTCATGTTGAGACTTGAACATCACACATTGTTCCTCTGAAATCAAACGTTTATTACTCCCCAGAGAAAGATATGGATTATTGTGTCTTTTACCACAAAACTAGACGTGTTTGGAATTTTATTTAAAGGTAGTAGAAATTTTTGAAGCTAACAAAGACCAGACACTGAAAAATTAACATTGCGACTTGGATATTCACAATTTAGACGTGGACAGTAAGTAGCAAAAAATTTTGATTGATGATGTATTTTCACAGACCATTCTGTCAGTCAGTGGAGATTAAGGAAGTTTCTTTCGCATTAAAGTGTAGTGTATCAGACCCTGTACTAGAAAATGGTAGTGTGCTCATACTCACTCAACATTATTGGTATGCTCATGTCACCTGCAGGGATTAGCATTCTGGAAACTGACAGGGTTATCTAATATGTTTTGTTTTCTCTTCAGAAAAGCCGTTTCAGCAGTAGCCAGTGCGTGAAAGGACTTTTCAGGCTTGCAGAGAAATGGGGCTATGTTAGATGCAAGTGATTTAAAATATCCCTCTGTGGCTGCCTACCTGCAAGGCAGTTATCTGTCCATCAGAATGGAAGGTTTTATTGGTGTGTCAGTGCTGTAAAGTATCAGTCCAAACCAGCAAAGCAATACCAACGACACAAATAGTGAAAGACTGTCTATAATTAACCTGTAAATGTGTTTAATGTGAGACCTCACCCTTGTTTCCCAGTTCCACAAGAGTTATTTCAGTTTATTACTGGATGACACTAACAAAATCTATCCATTTTGGCGGGAAAGAAAGACCAAAAACTACAAATGAACCCAAAGGAGAGTAAAGAGATGAAAGGATCAATGAAAAATAGGGACCTGCTTTTACTTTAGTGCTAGTTCTGTTCTGTGTTTAAAGGGAAGTGCTGAAAACTTAATGGGGTAGATAAGAACAGTATTCATCTTCTGAAGACACCTTTTGGAGGAAAGTTGAATTGGTGTAGGAGAAGTTCTGGGATTCTTTACGGAGTTGAGAATGGAAGAGATCTCTGTTTAATGTTACTGAAAACTTGCCATTAACTTCAGTTATTCCACCTGGTAACGCTTGTGTCTTTTTTTTTATCCCATCCTTATTCCTTCTTTGTATAGGAGACAGGAGCTTTTCATTTTGCATGTCATTTATAACAAATTGCTGTTATTCTGAAAAAATCGTACAGTTCAAGCTTCAACTGAAGAAGAAAAGGAAAGCATGTGGTTTTGAATTTACTCACATGCCTAATCTTGAACACCATGTTTTGGATTTTTACCTTATTTTCTTTAATTAGGCTCATGTTCTAGTGTTTGCTTTTCTATAAAATATTTATTCCTTAGCATTTGAAGTGTGTCTCTGTGATTTGGGTATTTTCTGCATGTGTTTGGAAGTAGCTGCTAGACGTGTCTTGCATTCTCTAGGAGGCTGGTATTTTTATACTTCTTGAAGCAGGCCCTTTTTAGGAGTGCCAGAATATGCCAAATTCTCATTTCCCAGTATTTCTGTGGCAACTTCCTATGAATCTTGGAGTAGAGCTCCTGCAGTCTGTTTGTTCTCCAAGCCAATTCCAGCACACGCATCGGCAAGCCAAAACAGACAAACCTAGGAGAGGTGTCAGTGCTGTAATACAATTTAGAGTATTATTTAGAATAATTAGGTCAGAATTTCTCTTGCTCATGTTAGGAAGTCACCCAGTGAACGACCACCTAGACAGACTTGTGATAACTGCCAATGAACTAGCTTTGGAAGCATAAGTAGTAGAGGCAAATGAGAGAAGAGCGTGGCAGCCAGGCTAATTAATTGAGAAGTCAGGCTAATTAGTTTGACTGGAGGGAGCACCATGCTGATGTCACATTGTAGCTTCCAAAATTCTGTGTGATCTTTACGCAGGTTGTACTGGGCTTCCGATAGACAAACAAGTTGTTTCTGGGGTCTTTCAGATGTTTTTCGTTGTGAAGCAGAATTGTGTATTGGTTTATTTCCTATGGAAATTTACTGTAGTCAATGTAGTTGGTAGTCAGTTTAGTTCCTTTTCAATCTTCTGCAGTTAAAATTTTTCTAAGGCGTATTGTAATATTGAGTTGTTCAACCTCATGCCACTGTGAGAGATTCCTTGGTGCTTTTTTTTTACTTGATGAAGGACTATCTCATCTTGGTCCTAATATTTTGTCACTTACTGAGTACAAAACTGTAGTTCCTTAAGTTGCATATGGTTCCATTGTTCCAGCAGGCAGGGCTGAGAGATGGCTGTCAGCAGTCTCGCTCCCAGATGATGTGTGCTAGCAACAGTGCACACCAGAAGATGCCTTGTTTAGTAAGAGCTGGGGATTCTGAACAGTTTGCCATTTTTCTTGATGTTGTGAAATGGTATTTCTTCAGTCCACCCCTAAATGTCAGTCGTTACATACAGTTTGATGTGTAAGATCAAACTGTTCATAAAGGAGTTGTTTTAGTGAAAATATAAAGAATACTCGTAGTAAGAGTCTGTGTTACTGTGCTGATATGGTGTAGTAAACATGAGAAGCAGTATCAAACCCAGAAGTGAATCAACAAGGTGTTGTAAATAAGCTGTATTCTCTATAGAATGCTTCATTAGAAATACTGAGTACTGTATTACATCAATAACATGGTAATCATTTGTGAACAGATAGTGGCATAGGATGAAAATGAGTATTTTATCAATGTTTCCTAAGAAATATTACTAGAGAGAATTTTTGGTTGTGGTTTGTGTGATTTTTTTCCCCCCATGTATGTTATTTAAAATGTTTTTAGTAATGATTTATGGTCCTTCTACAACAGCTTTTCAGCACAGTAGCTCCCACAAGGAGTTAACATGTATTTTTTCTATTTCTAGATCTGTTGGCTGTGCCTAAGCATCCTTATGCTGCTATGGAAAACTGGGGACTGAGTGTTTTCGTGGAGCAAAGGATACTGCTAGATCCAAGCATTTCTTCTATTTTATACCTACTGGATGTCACCATGGTCATTGTACATGAGCTGTGCCATCAGGTATTTAAGGTGTCCACGTATTGGATCTTAATGTCAGAATCCATGTGCCCCTTTTCAGAACTGAAGATGGATTTGTATTGTACATATGGATGGTTGTGATTTCTGTTGTAACTGGAATGCATGTAATATGGAGGTCTGTAAGACACATCCCTACCATACAGAGACTGAAGACTCAAAATGGGGATAGGAGAGAAAATGAGTAGCAGTGAACAGAATCCCTTTCTTCTGTAGTGGTATATTCTCTGTGTGTATCAGTGTATTTGTTACTGGTATGTAGAATAAACATGATGATAGCAGATTCATGCTAAGTTTCACGTTCATGTCAAAAAATGTTTTGTCTGAAGTCAATTGGTAGTAGTCTTTGTATTCTGTCATATATACACATATCCATTTTTTTCTCAGTTTTTTCCCAGCTTGGTAGTGACCCTTTCTGTTCACTAATGGTGGATAAGCGAGTCTATGTGTACAGAAACTATTGTGTCAATAAGAAAACTTAAAATAATAAACCCATATTACAATTTATTTTACATTTTTCCCATCTTCTTATCTCAAACTAAACACATTACAAGTGTTAGTAATATTGAGTTGAATGCAAATGTTATTGAAGAAATTTGCTACAGGGGCAGGAAACGCTTTCTTATACTCATAAGAGGCATAATCATAGCCTTCAGGTTAAAATGAATGAAATCCTACTGTGTAATCACCATGGCTTACATCTGTGACTTTACACAGTATTCTTTAAAGGCAATGCAAATGCTTAACACTTTCTGCAAATAAAAAGTACCATGTAAAAGGGAGCCATTGTAATGGCAGTCTGGCAGATGAGCCTGAAAATAATGTTTAGTTCATGTTTGTATTTCACATTAAATTGGTTGATGAATATGAAATCCTCAACTAAGAAATGAAATTTTTATTGAAAGTTATTGTTGGTTTGATCTTGATACTATCATCTGATTTTGCTATAAGCTCTTCACTGTGCAGTACAATAGAATAATACACAGTTCAGCTAGAAAAATTACAGTGCCTTAGGAATCATATGTGGAAAACATACATCAGGTCATCAAGTCACAGCTCCTGTGAGTATTAGATTTTTCCATGTGATGTGTTTGTAGTGCTGGGTTCAGTGCTCCTGATTACAGGGTTATATGGCTTCCCTTAAAACCTTCTGGTTAAATTTGATGGTAAGTAACTTTTCCCAAGTGTTCAGCTTAAGTCTTGATTTTTCTGAAGTTGTTTTATTACTTCCACTTATTCTTTGCACTGCTTTGATAATTTCCTCTGCTTCCAGAGCAATTTGTACTTCAGATGTGGGCAATTATCACATCAGTAACTGACCAAGTTTGCTTATTTGATTCTTAAAGACACTGAAGCCATTTTACATTGTTCTGGGAATTTTAGAGGATCATGAAGTAGGCAAAAACTATAGCTGAATTTATTTTAGGGTAGAAATATGATCATAAAGTACATTTAAGTGACTTTATAATTGCAGATGAGGAGGTTGATGTCCATGTTGATATCACTTCCAGTGCTGTTTGCTTAATTAAAAGTAATTTCCTCTATTTCTGCTGCTGCTGTTTCTGTTTCACTGCCATGCAGATTAGGTCTTTGCTCAGGTGCTTCATTGGATAGCTAGACAAGATAGAAAAAATTAATGTTAAAGAAGCATTGTTTCTACTTCTTGGATGCAGAATTGAATCACACAGAATATAGATTGTTCACCTGCAAGTAAAGGGAGGAACACTCAAAAAATATAACCTAAAAAGCAGTCTAGCACCTCTATCACATTGTCTGAATTTAGCCCTTTTTTCTATCTTTATCTTACCATACTCAGGAGCCCCTCAAGGAACTCTAAACAATACTATCTTAGCTGAAAATGTGCTGAACCGAGACCAAGTTGGGTCCAGGATTTCTTGCCTCTGCTGTTTAATTGTTATTTATTCACTGCATTCTTCGCGTTCTTTTGCTGTGCATCATATCACCTGTTAGCCTGTGGTGACACATGAATATTCTTCCCCTCCACTCATTTTTACACACAGAATAACAAAAATTAACCAAAATCTCTCAATTCCAAGCAAAACTAGAATCTACATTTCCACACCTCCAGTTTTACTTTTTATTTATTTGGTGTTTTTTAGATTTCAGGGAAGGGGAAATGGAACTCTTCTAAAATATGTGGGGTTTTTTGTTTTTTGTGTTTTTTTTTTTAATAAGAATTGTGTCGTTGTCCAGTTTCCCTGACTTTAAACCCATGACTTCAAGATTTATGGAACATATTGAAGCATGCAGTAAACTGATCTGTATGAGAGCCCTGTTACTGAGAGTAACACAGCAGTTGCTTTGCCAATGTTCTTTCCAAGATTAGAGAAATCAGATTAATATTAAAAATCCATATTATTGCCTTTAGACTTGACTGTTAAAAATTGTGATTACCAAACCTGCACAGTGCTCAGGACAGATAGAAAATGCGAGACAACACTGCAAAAGGACAAATTCCGTGGTTGCTAAAATACAAGTAAAAAGTGTGTAAGGAGAAATGGTTTCATGTCCAGTTTTTTGACAGCTGACTTTAGATGTTTGACCAGTTATTTTAGGTACCTGTTTTAGGAGAGATGCATGAAAATTACTGTGGTTGTTTTGGTTCAGTAATTTTGTAGAGGGCTATTTTTTGATATTTCAGCTCGAGTGTTCTTTCAGAATATTTTCTTTATTTAATTAAAAAAAACCCCAACTCAGTCATCTGAGTGTTTTGGCATAAAAGCTTATCCTCTGAGCTCCAAACCATGAGTTAGTCAAAACAGATGTATTTCTACCAGCCTAATTTGATAACTTGAAATAATTACCATAATTCATTAAAATAATTCTGTTAACGTAGTAATCAGTTTTATTTGCATATCACAGATCAGTTCCACCTATAGCCTTTGAAGAAAGAGTCATTTGAATTTATGCATCATTTTTGTCATAGTTTTCCCACCTGAGCACAAAACTTGGTGTGACAGATTGAGTTACAGAGGCATGAAGGAAGAAAGAAAATTAAAAACTTCTAAATCAACATTTTTTTTTATAATCTGTAAAAAATAAACCATGTAGGAAAGAGTGTCCTTTCAAAATATCTGTAAATTAAGTACTTTCTGCATATCAGGTTGAATATAATACATGAGAGAGATGAGAAATTTATGTGATCAGTGCATTTCAGAATGAATTGGTGGTCTTCAGGAAGATAGAGCCTATAGTCAAATACACAAATAAATAAATAATTACTTAAAGAAATTAAATGCTTTACTTATAGTTTTTCTTTGATACATGTAACACCTAGGGAGATAATAGCACCTTTCTGCTGGAAAATCTGTCTTTCTTGCTTATAGCCTCTGGGTACTGCTCTGTCTCTGACATGCATAACTCTGTCTGATACTGTTCAAAAGTAGTTGAGCAAATTTCCAACATTTTCATGTTGATATCACATACTGGTTTAATGCCTTTAAAACATTTCTATCTTTAGGTGGATAATTAAATAAATAGTTTTAATTGTATCATTAATAAATGAACCCAGAAAACTCACAAAGGAGTAGAAGAAATTGTCTTTTGTAGCACCATAAATTAATGTTATTAATTCAAATTACAGGACGAGGTATTATGAACTTTACAACCCTTCATATTTTTAAAATCTCTCTGGCTAGTCATAGTTCAAAATGACAATTTTACCACTGGTTTCACATTTGTTCAGTAGTACTCCTGCAATTCAGGAAATAAACTCTGTGCTGTTATGTTTAATCATCAGAAACCATTTAAGCAATCTACTCTAGTATGAATTTAACTTCCATCCTTCTTGGTGTATGAAAGTTATATTTATTTTATTGTTTCAAATTCTGTAAATGCATAAGCTATATGAATATATTTCCAGCATTTCTTTGTCTTTTCAGTTAAATGTTCTTGAGATTAGGATCTATGTTTAGTTGCCCTGTAGAGTTAATTTATTAATAGCCTTCAACTATATTACGCATACAGCGTGTGCATTAAGTTTACCTTCACATGGTGTATGAATATGACTTCTATCAACCTCATATTTTCTCTCTAAAGTATTAAGCTGATTGTCAGAGACATTCATTGCCATGTTTTTCTTCATGTCTTTTCATTCGAATTCTATTTGCTAAACCTTATGTGGCTGTCTGGGAATCTTCCAGCATGTCTGGTCTTTGCTTGCTAGTCTGTTCTTTGAACACATCACTACGGATCCTCATTGCAGCATTGATCCTTCTGTGGTGTCATTCTCACTCCACAAAGACATGCACACAAGTGACATCTTTCATTCAGGTCCCAGACAAAGCCTTCCAACAAGCCAGCTGACAAGAAATCAAAGTGCTTATGGGCCAACTCTGCTTTCATTCATTCCTCACTCTCATTAAAGTTCAGCTTCAGTTCCTCTGCTCTGACCTTTCCCTCTAGAATACTTTCTGCTCCCTCTCTGTATTTTTAGAGCATGTTTACACATGAAAGCTCAAAATTATCTCTGTTGATTATAACTGATTTTTATAAAGAAAAATCTGGCAGATAATGTTACTTAAACAAAGTTTTGGTATTTATTTGGCAGAAGAGAGACTACAGAGAGTATGAAATAGGTTTTCATAATCATTTTGATGTTCCTGTTCTTACCACTGGTGTAACATTATTCAGGTTACGCACTACAATAATTTAAATAGTCACTTAAACAGGGTCATCTATCAGCAGATGAGCATATGATGTTTGATTTCCTGTGAATTCTTGTCCTCATCTGTTTTCCAGTGATCATCCCAGCTCTGTGTAAAATCCCCCTGACACCTACATGTCCTGTACTGTGAGACTTGTGTCTGTTGAGGTCTTAGTGAGCAGAGTATGTAATGGTTGTGTTCTTGCCTTGCCCTCAGCTCAGACCTTTCTCCTCTTTTCAGCTGATGATCTTCATTTATTTGTAGGGTTTATGGAGTTTAGTTATCCTTCAGATTTCTGTCCTTCTTGCTAGATTAGATTGAAGTCAGTGTGGATGTTGAAGAATCATGTGGAGGAAATGGGAAAGGCAGGCAGCTCGAGTGAGTTCCTTTGCATATACACAGGTGGGCTGTGCCGATTCAGATACCTCTGCTTTTGGCTGCTGTTTGCAAAGGCTGCAGATGTCCTATAAATCAAGTATGAAATTTCCTAGACCTTTGTGGGAATCTCACATACTCTACTATCTTCTCTAAATGGCATCAACTACCTGCTTGTAGGCATCTGAGTCCTACCCACGGAGAGCTGGCATTATTGTGTAAAACTGCTTTCTTTAAGAAACTTGCCAAGGAGAGGAGCATCAGTAGTATTGTAAATCTTAGTGGGCAGAGAGTGGGGAGAAAGAAATGCTAAAATTCAGGTCTGAGGTGGAGAATGTGTTCTCATTCCCACATATATGTTTTTCAATATTCACACTATGCATCATGAAGTTTCAGTGTAATGGATCAGATTACTTGAATTATAGAAGCCTTTTTCTGTCCAGTGTGTATGTTAGTTTGTTAAACCTAGGTGAGCATCTACTTCAGAGAACTAAAGCTGACACTATGAATACTGTCCTCAATGCTTTTTTTTTTTCTAATGTTTTACTTCATTAACTAGTGCATCTTGTAATGTTGAATTAATTAGATAAGGAAAAATACAGTTAGTGAGTTTCAGTGCATGCTAAATACTACTGTTTTATCAATATATGTGAAAAATGTGTTTGTCTAGGTGAAATATATGAAAATATGATTTCCTAAAGGTTGTTAAAGTTGTTAACTTGAACTTCTTGTTTTTCCAGTGGTTTGGTGACCTTGTGACTCCAGTTTGGTGGGAGGATGTGTGGCTGAAGGAAGGTTTTGCTCACTATTTTGAATTTGTTGGGACAGACTACCTCTATCCGGGGTGGAACATGGTAAGTCAGTTCTATTTTGTTAATGTGGAGACTCCACAGAAAAGCTGCTTTGCCGTTAGACTTCCAGCTTCCCTAGACAGGGACTGCTGAAAAATACCAAATGATGCATGCAAGTATCAGATGTCGAATGAACCAAAATCACTAGGTGTGAAATAATTTGACAGCATTCCAAAAGTGTAATCTGCAATTTATTGCAAGAGAAATAATGTCATGTCTATCATAACCCAGCATTGAAATAACTACTGTCTCTCTGCTTAGAAATATTTTGGATTAAAGCAGTTGTGATTTAACATGGACTGTTCTTTAAAACATTGAGAACACTGAATTTTATTCAGGAGATAAATTAGAAATAAATGTTTAGCTAAAACATTCTGTAAAACTGAACAAATTTTTTCTTACAGTATTCTGTTCTCCTCTTCCTAAATATACTCTTTTTATCTTCCTGGTATTGTTTAGATATCTAGAGTAAATGCTAAATTAACATGGGTTGCATAATTTGAAAATTTAAGTTTTGGTATGGTTTCTAGCTGTACATAATTGGACATGCTTTTTCAACCAGTGAGCAAATACTGGAGCTCTCTGAGGGAACTGGGAATTCCATGCTGGGACATTATTTTGGAGTCCTTCTGTTATATCATATTGTACCTAGACAGGTCCCATTTTGTATGAATTGCTATAGTCTAGCTATATTATATTTATAAGAAAAATAAGAGACATGAGACCTCAGTAGAAGGAAATCATTATAAAACTATAGGTTAAGGGTTCCTGTTGAGATTTTATTGTCCTTTGGAGGAATGTTTATATTTGCTAACCTTTTGTGCTTATATATGTTTAATTATGTGGTAAAATATTTATTATAGATCATGATTGTCTGACAGAGATATTGGGGCTTGGATATTTTGTGTAAACTCTTAAAAACTAATGTCTGATTTTTTTTCCATTTCTGTGTGCTTTCCTGAGTATAATTACCCCATTAACATTTGTGTGCCATAAAATAAAGATGCTATGATTATGATTTAAAGCTAATTTTTAAAAATTAGTTGTATACAGGTTACTCTTGAGTTAGTTATACTTCTTGTGAAATTTGAATTCTTTGTAGTATTTTAATTTTTTCTTTCAGGTGTCAATTTTTGTTTATAATTGCATTATGAAAAGGAAAACAAATCTTTATTGAACTGACAACTGTCTTGCATAGGTAGGCTTGTTGGGTTTGCCTGGCTTTGGCTGTATTAAAACTGATTCTATTCATCTTTATAAAGAGCACAACCTGAATTACAATGTAATGATTCTAATTATGAATGCAATGAAATCTGGCAGGCCTTTGTGATTTTAGAATAGTGAAGTGTCATAGATGACAACATTTATACACTGAATTTTATCTTCAAATCATCAGTCATTTATTCTTCACATAATCAGTCTAACAAATTCAGAATAACTTTGCTTTAGAAGTCATTTGGAATATAGTATATTTGCTTGAAATTTCTGTGGAATGAATATAATGTTCACTGTTATGCAAATAACATGCCCATCATGTGAAATCTTGGCATCTTAGCAGAATACAAGCAAAAAGAGTGGATTGAACAAGGGATGGCAGTTAAACTGAAAAATCAGAAATGTGCTGCATAAATTAGAATTAACTACAGTAATATTGCTGTGCCTGAAAAAGTATTAATCTGTCAAGTTTTTTCTTAAAAGGAAGAAAGACATAGACTGCTCATAAGGCTTTGGATATCTTTGGCCTTTGATACAAAAATGACCATATTGACATATGTAAGTGATGAGAAAATGAGATGAAACTCACAATGGGTTAAACATGCTTAATTCTTTTGCACACTACAGTAGGAATCAACACTGTCATGTTTCTGCATGTTTATTACATGGATTGTTGGATGAGAAAGCAAAAGCTACAGTTACTGAAATTTGGCTTGCTGGTAATTTTGTTATTGTTATAAGGTGCATTTGGTGTTTGAACATACTGACTGAAATTTGTAAACTTGAAAAAATTAAAGTGATCGTGCATAAAAAGAGAAACTTTTCCAAGAAACTTACCATTTTTCAGAAGAGAAGGATGAAGTACAAGTTGTGAAAACAAGAACTACAAACCTTATTTTCTGTCATGATGGTCAAACAGTGTAATATTCCAGCATACTGGTTGGTGTTTTGTCAGTAGTAATTCTTACCTGTGAATTATAAGAAAAAAAAATGTATGCCACAGCTCTTTGTGTCAGGAAAATAGTGATAAACCAAAATTCTCTTTATGTCTAAGGAGTTGGGAAAGTTAGGTAGCTAACTTCTTTCCCTCATAGTTCTGCAATGTTAACCTTGAAGGTTTGCTCAAAAAGCCCATGGATTAAAGCATCAAAATCAGCTTATTTTTCGCTTACTGAAGGCTTTTTGTCTCATCCTTTTTTGGATAAATGTAGAAGCAGAAGACTGGTTGTCCATTACAGAAAAAAGACTTTTATTTGGAAATGCAACTTGGGCAATATGAGTACATCTGAAAAAATGAGATCTGTGCACAGCTTCCTCACTAAGTTGTTGGATATTTATAGGCTACAGGCACATTAGTTTTCACCATTAAGGCTTATAAACCACTAAGGTTTTGATTCAACTTGTCTGTCCTTTAACAGAGCTGACATTTTTCTGTGTCCATCTTACCTGGCATTCACAGCCTTGCTATGGCTGAGTCCAAGACTCTTGAGAAGAGCTGTCTGTTAGGCATGTTCACACTATTAATACTTTAACCAACAGCACCAAGTTTGACACAAAACAGGGATCCATGAGTTTTGTCTGAAACTAATTTCTTGGCTTTTTCTTCTTTTCTAGGTTATTTAACTTTTTAAAATATTTATTCCCCCTGCCATTTTTAATTTTATCAGTTTTCCTTCAATACTCCTTATAGACTTTTACAGCAGAAAAGATGAGCAGATAACAATGCCAACTGCCATGGAGCTGCAACACTTTATTGAGCATTCCAGCGTGTCTGGAATTTCTTGTGTTGTCCAGAAGGCGTTTACTGTCATACTTCATCATGCTTGCATAATCTTAATGAAAATGGAAATCCAGTCCTATTAAAGCTTTGCTATCCTTATGTCCTGGATCCTCTGGCTGGGGTCATTTGGTCTGTTCAGCCAAAGCAGTTCTGGAGGAGAGCAGACTGAGGGGGGACCTCATGGCAGTCTACAACTTCCTCCTGAGGGCAAGAGGAGGGGCCCACACTGAGCTCTTTGTGATTCCCAGTAGTGACCTGAGGGAATGGCTTCAGGTTGTGTCAGGGGAGGTTCAGGTTGAATATTAGGAAGAGGTTCCTCGCCAAGGGTGGTTGGGCACTGGACCAGGCTCTCCAGGGAAGTGGTCACAGCACCAAGCCTGTCTGAATTGAAGCAGTGTTTGGACAATGCTCTTGGGTCCATGGAGATTTGTAATGATAGTCTTGTCCAGGGCCAGGAATTGGACTCAATGATCATTGTGGATTCCTTCCAACTCAGTTTATTCTGTGATTAAAATACTGGGTGAAAAACTGAATGAAGAGGCATTCTGATGGAGGTGTCTGTTATCCATTGCAGTTAATGTGAAATACATCAGAACTTGCCCAAGGTAGGGAATGAAGTTTTTCTGGTTTTAAAACAGAAAGATGAGCTTTCTGTGCTGAGATCCTTAATGGTTAACCCACTGTCTTAATATCTTTCTTCAAAGCTAAGTCGCTTCAGATTAAAGCTAGAAATTCTCATTTCCTTCCTTTAGCTAAGAAAATAAGTCCCAGCATCTTACTTTTTACTTGTGAAGGTGAAGCTACATTTAATTTTGCAGGGAAGCTCTCTCATATACAGTGATTAGACACCTGCCATGGGAAGGAATTCATGATTCTTCCCATTTCAGCCTCTTTCCTTGCCTGTCCCACAAATTAAGAGTTTTTTTGAAATTCTTGTTCTGAAATGCCTCACATTCTTACTGCTAGATCTAATTTTTAAAGGTCTGGGAAGTTTAAACAGTTGTTTCTGTGTTGTCAGGATGATTTTAAAAAGAAAGCTGTCTTAACAAAGTGTTCCTCTGAGATCAGAGAATTTCACTTGATCATGTGTGCTCAGAATAATCATCTGCATGTGAATTTCCTGGCTGTTGCTATTTCATGACTTAGAAAAAGGTGAGATTTCTGTATTAGAGGCTTACCATATGGTTGTCTCTCCATGCTATCAAAAAGTAGCCACAGCTGGGTGTGAGTTCCTGAGCTGTAAGATCTTATGTCTGATACAAGGTAATCTCACCTCTGTGGAAGGGGCCTTTGCTGGTTTTAGGATCAGAGAAAAGAGAAAATTACAGTGGAACTCCATGCTGGTAATTTCCACTTCAGAGCTCTGTCTTTTCTCATCTGCTGTGCTCACCTTTCTCCTTTCAGAGGCCTGTTTGCAGCTGTATATTCCATCTTCCTCTTGTCTTGTTTCTCTCATATCCTGAAGTCCTTTGCATGTGGCTTTGTAAAGGAATTCAGCTGAGGCTTGCAGATCCAGGAATTTATTGGCTGATCTTTTCCGTCCTTATTTTCTGGTAGAAGGAACCATTATGTTTGTCCTTGAATGTCTAGATTTTGAGGACTATGACAGCAGGAATTACTGGCATGTAATTTGCCCTTACATCCATCAAATGAGCATCAAATACTTCAGCAGTCAGTACCTGGCTTGGTGCTGAGAAAGCATTTCACAGAGCCCAGCTGCCTTCTCCCTTTTCTTTATTATATAACAGTTAGCTTTGCTGACAACTTTATTGGCTGAGTCAAGGTGTAGCACATCAGCAACAGCTTTGAATCCTGTCTTCTTGATCCATTAATGCCTTGGAATAGGATTTGCCACTATTTATTTGCTTACTGCTTTTCATAATTAAGGATGGTCATATCTGCCAGAATTTTTCTTAGTATTAAATAAAAAACTTTGTACCTGTATAGAAGGGTATCTTTCTTCCTTCCGTAAGTGAGCCGTGCTTCCTTTACACTATTAGGTTCCACA